TGCCTAGAATCTCCTCCTTTTTTGCTAAATGACACACACAAGGTCAAGAAATGTCTCCTTTCTTTCTTAAAACATTCAAGCACTCAAGGGTTTCTCTCTAAGGGTTGGGTGAGCACAAATGACGGCCATAAGGTCCTTTAAATAAGTCTCAAACCCCGGAAATTAGCGTGTCACCGCACAGCATGGACTCGCTGAGTCCACTCTTGGACTCGTTGAGTCTGGACGTGAACCCGTGCCCAATACCGCGATCCTACTCGGCGAGTTTAAGCTTCAACTCGCCGAGTCCACTCACAATTTCTATAAATAAACCCAAAATAAATACCTGGAAATTCCGGGCTGTTACAATATATATATATATATATATATATATATATATATATATATATATATATATATATATATATATAAGGTGATAGGCGTTTGTATACATATTTTTTTGTAAAATACGTTTTTGTATATATTTTTTTATAAAAACGGATTTTTCTATATTTATATACTTAATAAATATATATTTTTATAACTAGATATTTTATATACAAAAACTTTTTAAAAAAAAAATTTATATATATAAATTATAAGATTTTTATGTGATAACTTACTCTTCTTCACTGCATTCAAGTTTGTGATATGCATTCTGCAGATAGATAATATAATATCAGATAACTTACTCTACTTCATTGCATTCAAGTTTGTGATATGCATTCTGCAGATAGATAATATAAGGCTTCAAACAATTGATATCACTATTTCCTCCGGTGGGCAGTGCGATTAGAGATAAGCTGAATCATGTCCACTCTGTTAATTAATTTAAAAATTATCATATACTAAAATAGGACTCAAAAAAGAAAGTATAATATAAGATCTGATAACTTACTCTTCTTCACTACATTCAAGTCTGTGATCTGCAGATAGATAATATATGCCTCTTTCTGCAGACTCAAGTATGCAACGTGAATCACCAACAAAAGCTACAGTTATGACTGATCCTTCAACAATAACAAAGGTCACAGTTGTTCCTGATGATTGAATTGAATTCATAACAATCCATAAGTACCAAATCTGAATTCCTACGCATGTTTAGATGAATCAGAAAATCAGAAAACGAAAATGCAAGGTAGCAACCAGAAATCAGAAAACTAAGTGGCAACAAGAAATGAAAAGTGAAAAGTATAGATTACCGAAGGTGAGCGTGGAGATGAACCTAGGTCATCGTTTGTGGAGATGAAATCAGGTTGTCGATTTAGTGAAGCAACAACGGCAAGCGGAGGTCGTTCGTATACCTCGTTTCAGTTCGAAATGATCAACATATTCGAATGGAAGATCGTTTCTAGATCTGACAAATCGATAGAACAACAAATGTAGGATTTTATTTAGTAAATGAGGCGGATATGGGAATACATCAAGATAGATAAGACGAAGACACGAACTGGTTGTCGGAGATGCTAATCGATCATCAGAACTCGGTCGTCGGATCTATTCTCTTCTGAAGAACTAAATTGATTGATTGTAGGCGGTGGAGATAACTAATGAATCATCTTCGTCAATGATATATAGATTAACGATTGTGGATCAGAAATCTTCATTGATCGGCGACAGATGAAGCAGTGGTTGATAGATGGTGATGAGAGGCGGTAGATGGAGGGTGGAGGGAGGTGGTCGATGGAAAAGGTAGATATGTGCAGACGATGTGAAAGATGTGAGGGAGTGTGAGATTAATTTATGGATTTTAGATTAATTTGTAATTTATATGTTATTGGTTTTTTATTGGAAATTTTTATACCAAATTTACCCCCAGGTTTCATTAATAAAAACCTAAAAGGCCATTAAACTCATTTATAATTACAAATATGCCACTTTTAATCTAAACCATCAAATTTTTTGATTTAATGCTCCACCTTTAGTTTTCGAGTTCTCGGAAACTTTGAGTTCTAAAATAATAATTCATATATATATATATATATATATATATATATATATATATATATATATATATATATATATATATATATATATATAAGGTTCAATAGAGAACCATAATTAACCAAGGAACCAATCGTGAGCATCGGAAATCATAACGATCAATGGCCAAGAAAATAGATGTACACTTTTACATTTGACGCACACACACCGGATTATACCAAAAATCCACACTTTACAAAAAAAACTCACCACTTTTTTTCGTTTTTACGCTATTTTTTTATCAAAATAAAAAAAACCGAATATACCGTTGTTCATGATTTTTTGTCCTCTTTCCATAGAGATCCATGATGATGTATAAAAAACGAACTTTTTTCTCGAAAAAAAAAACCAGTTCATTTTCTTTAATGAAAAAAGTTAAGGTCTATTTTTTATAGAAAAAAAATTAAAAAATATATCAAAATTCATATTTTTTGTACTTTTTAAACATAGATTCATATTCATATTTAAAATAAAAAAACGATATTTCAGTTCAGATTCACATTGTGAACTTGTTCAGATTCATATTGTAAACCTGTTCAGATTCACATTCTAAACCTTCTCAAATTCACAGTGTGTATAATAATAAATCAGATTCACAATGTGAATCTGAACTGATCGGAGCTTTTTCACATTGTGAATGTTAAAATTTGAAATAGTTACAGTTTAGATTCACAATGTGAATCTACACTGATCGAGGTTTTTTTTGTGAACCTTCTTAGATTCACAATGTGAATCTGAACTGTTCGAGATTTTTCATATTGTGAATGTTAAAAATTGAAATATTTACAGTTTAGATTCACAGTGTGAATCTACACTGTTCGAGGTTTTTTTTAATCGGTGTTGATATTTATTAATAGAGTACAAAAAGTTAATATTTTTAGTATAATTAGATTTTTTTATATAACAAAAAGCTTAAATATTGAAAAAATAAGAAAATTAAGTGGATTTTTTTTTCGAAAAAAAAGTTCATTTTTTATATTTCATCATCGATCTCTATGGAAAGAGGACGAAAAATCGTGAACAACGGTATATTCAGATTTTTTTTCGATAAAAAACTTGGCCTAAAAAAATTTTAAATGAAAAAAAGAAAGTAGGTTTTGTTATAATCCGGTACATGTGCGTCAATTATAAAAATTTGCAACCCTTCTTTTTATCGTTGATCGCTTTAAATTCTGGCAATTTTGATTGGTTCCTTGAATAATAATGGTTCTCTATTGAACTTTATATATAGTCATACAATACGACACAAGTTGAGTCTACATTTGGAATTTCATCTAATTGTCCATACTTGATTTTACAATATATTTAAATAACAACAATCTGCAATCATGTAGTTTTGTATATTTATAACATGTCTGATATATAAACTACACCAATATGCAATCATGTTGCTTCATCTGCTAGCCCAACATTAAACATCAAATGAGAATCTAAGATACATATTTGAAGAAATTGTAAAATAATAAGTTGTTGACTATACCTTGTTAATCACATAAAACTTCTTTGTACACAATATTTGATGTGTAGATTCCATCATTATCAAAACTTTTTTCCGGCTTTACTAATACATTGGTATTGACACGTGATATTCCTCTGGACAACGCCACATAAAGTTGGTCATGTGAGAATACCTATTTTAGCAGATAAACACCTAGTCACACAACAAACATAGTACTTTCGTTTGTAAAAAAATATTAAAAATGATATTTTTATAAATTAGAATGCTATTTTCTGGATATATTTCAAAAGTTTTATTGTTAAATTTCATTTTTCTATAAAAGGACCAAAATGCCCTTTATCCAAAATAAAGACGAAAAATAATGTTTTTTGTTCTTTTTAACCCACCTTTTGCACATATCACATTTAATAACTATTTTAATCAAATCGGGGCAAAACAGTCTTTAAAAATCTATCAACAGTGATACAAACTTTCCCAAGCAAAACATACTCACACTTTCGAAACATTGTACTTTTGTTTGTAAAAATGTTAAAAATCATATTTTTATAGAGTACAATGCTATTTTCTGGATATTTTCTAATGTTTTATTATAAGAACATCATTTTTCTATGAAATAACCTATAATTATTGATATGCAGTAAATTAATAAACTTATAAGGTTTTCTTTTGACTTGGCCAATAAAAAATTAACCAATATCAACACCATATATTCAATATATCAAGAAGTAAAAAAAAAAAAGAAGAAGTAATAGACAGGACTGGACTTGATAAACTTTCTACGCTACTCTTGATGATGAGAATCATAAGGAAATTCATGTCATTTTTCACAAAAGAGAGAATGGCATAATGGTCGGATGGTGTTTTTGGAACATATAAAGTAGGTATGAGTTTTACATACCTTCAACTACTTCATCTTCTACTTTTGAATGCTGTTTGACCAAGTCCTCCTTGATACTGATATTTAGATGAGTTGCTTATAGTTTCTGGGATAAAGTCTTGACACCACCCTCAAGTTCTTCCTGTGGTATTTCAGACTTTGATGTGACTTCAGGTGACAAGGAACTTTGATTTGAATATATCTTTTGAAGATTTGAAAAAAAAAAGTATAAGATTTTAACCAACACTTGAAAAAGCAGAAATCAAGGAAGAAAAATATAACAAAACCAAGATATCATAATTGGTCTATTTCAACAAGATTTATGAGGCATTAATTAATCTTGAATTGTCTAAGATCAAAGAATACACACATTATCTTATTTATGTTGAAAAAATTAACACAATTTTGACTTTGAAAGTCAAACACGAACATATTGCTTTCCAAATTCAAACTCGATTCACAATTACAAACAATTTTACATTCTTACTCAAATTGTTTAAATCTTCATCTTTTCTTGTATTCCAATGTAGTTATCTTAATTTCTAGTAAATTTCAAAGTAATTTCGGATTTATATGTGATGTGTTTGACTGTAAAAGTTTAACTATAACATGAAGAGGAATTTTATTTTGATGATAGCTCAAGGAAGAAAAGCTACTTAATAGTAATTAAGACCATATTTACCAGCCAATAACTAGAAACTATTATCAAATCATAGGATGCATTGTTTGGGCAAAATCAGCATCGAGCAAGGAAAAAATAGATGAGAAGAGTATGATAGTCAAATACTTCCTTCTCCGTTTTGGTATTACTTTGACTAAAATCGAAATCTTATTCATGTAAAGAACAAAGGGAGTAGAGAAAAAGGGGAGAACCTTGACGGTAGGAGCGACGGTTGGCCAACAAGACCAGGTTCCGAGTATGAACACCAAGCTGACTGATTTGGTCGCATTTACTTTCGTGCTCCTTTGAAGATCATGTGGCGTACCATCCGAGGTTAGGTGGCGACGGTGAAGACGCTGAGAACAGTGAAGATGCACACACCTAAATTAGAAATTAAATGGAGAAGATGATGGTAAATTCCAAATATAAATTAGAGGAATCTATTACCTGGATCAGAAAATGGAGATGATGATGGCGATTTCCAAATCTGATCAGCATCTGGTCAAGAAACAAAAGACTCGTCAACGCCGTTAAAGATGCATAGCATTACTACCACTTGGTGGTGGCCAACATCAATGAGTGGTGGCGGGGATGGACAACAAGTTAGGTTAGAGAGAGGGAGAGTGACAGATGAGAAAGAGATCAATTTAGAAATTACCCTGAAAGTACCAAATCAGTCATCAATTGTTAAACGTAAACCACTTTCAAGTAAATAGAGATGTAGAGAAAGAAAAAGAGATTCATGAAACAGAAGGTGTTGATGGAAATAACTCATTGTTCGAGATCGAGAGACAGATAAAGAGAGGCGAGAGAGATCATTGCATCTTTGGTGAGGGAAGTCGGCATCCGTGGACCTTTGGTGTGAGACATTAGTGGAGATGATCTTTGGTGGAGATGATGAGAATTGGTTTGATGGCGGCTATGTTTAAGAGATTAGGGTAAGATCCGTGTAGTGTGAAGTGTAATACGTATATGATCCGTGTGGTGTAATATGTATAAGATTGGTTATATGGTTAGTATTATTGTACATGAGGTTATATATGTTATACTTCTTAATTTTCAAGAAATGGGCAATATCCTTAATAATATAGTATATATATATATATATATATATATATATATATATATATATATATATATATATATATATATATATATATATATATATATGAAGAGGAATTTTATTTTGATGATAGCTCAAGGAAGAAAAGCTACTTAATAGTAATTAAGACCATATTTACCAGCCAATAACTAGAAACTATTATCAAATCATAGGATGCATTGTTTGGGAAAAATCAGCATCGAGTAAGGAAAAAATAGATGAGAAGAGTATGATAGTCAAATACTTCCTTCTCCGTTTTGGTATTACTTTGACTAAAATCGAAATCTTATTCACGTAAAGAACAAAGGGAGTAGAGAAAAAGGGGAGAACCTTGACGGTAGGAGCGACGGTTGGCCAACAAGACCAGGTTCCGAGTATGAACACCAAGCTGACTGATTTGGTCCCATTTACTTTCGTGCTCCTTTGAAGATCATGTGGCGTACCATCCGAGGTTAGGTGGCGACGGTGAAGACGCTGAGAACAGTGAAGATGCACACACCTAAATTAGAAATTAAATGGAGAAGATGATGGTAAATTCCAAATATAAATTAGAGGAATCTATTACCTGGATCAGAAAATGGAGATGATGATGGCGATTTCCAAATCTGATCAGCATCTAGTCAAGAAACAAAAGACTCGTCAACGCCGTTAAAGATGCATAGCATTACTACCACTTGGTGGTGGCCAACATCAATGAGTGGTGGCGGGGATGGACAACAAGTTAGGTTAGAGAGAGGGAGAGTGACAGATGAGAAAGAGATCAATTTAGAAATTACCCTGAAAGTACCAAATCAGTCATCAATTGTTAAACGTAAACCACTTTCAAGTAAATAGAGATGTAGAGAAAGAAAAAGAGATTCATGAAACAGAAGGTGTTGATGGAAGTAACTCATTGTTCGAGATCGAGAGACAGATAAAGAGAGGCGAGAGAGATCATTGCATCTTTGGTGGGGAAGTCGGCATCCGTGGACCTTTGGTGTGAGACATTGGTGGAGATGATCTTTGGTGGAGATGATGAGAATTGGTTTGATGGCGGCTATGTTTAAGAGATTAGGGTAAGATCCGTGTAGTGTGAAGTGTAATACGTATATGATCCGTGTGGTGTAATATGTATAAGATTGGTTATATGGTTAGTATTATTGTACATGAGGTTATATATGTTATACTTCTTAATTTTCAAGAAATGGGCAATATCCTTAATAATATAGTATATATATATATATATATATATATATATATATATATATATATATATATATATGAAGAGGAATTTTATTTTGATGATAGCTCAAGGAAGAAAAGCTACTTAATAGTAATTAAGACCATATTTACCAGCCAATAACTAGAAACTATTATCAAATCATAGGATGCATTGTTTGGGCAAAATCAGCATCGAGCAAGGAAAAAATAGATGAGAAGAGTATGATAGTCAAATACTTCCTTCTCCGTTTTGGTATTACTTTGACTAAAATCGAAATCTTATTCACATAAAGAACAAAGGGAGTAGAGAAAAAGGGGAGAACCTTGACGGCAGGAGCGACGGTTGGCCAACAAGACCAGGTTCCGAGTATGAACACCAAGCTGACTGATTTGGTCCCATTTACTTTCGTGCTCCTTTGAAGATCATGTGGCGTACCATCCGAGGTTAGGTGGCGACGGTGAAGATGATGAGAACAGTGAAGATGCACACACCTAAATTAGAAATTAAATGGAGAAGATGATGGTAAATTCCAAATATAAATTAGAGGAATCTATTATCTGGATCAGAAAATGGAGATGATGATGGCGATTTCCAAATCTGATCAGCATCTGGTCAAGAAACAAAAGACTCGTCAACGCCGTTAAAGATGCATAGCATTACTACCACTTGGTGGTGGCCAACATCAATGAGTGGTGGCGGGGATGGACAACAAGTTAGGTTAGAGAGAGGGAGAGTGACAGATGAGAAAGAGATCAATTTAGAAATTACCCTGAAAGTACCAAATCAGTCATCAATTGTTAAACGTAAACCACTTTCAAGTAAATAGAGATGTAGAGAAAGAAAAAGAGATTCATGAAACAGAAGGTGTTGATGGAAGTAACTCATTGTTCGAGATCGAGAGACAGATAAAGAGAGGCGAGAGAGATCATTGCATCTTTGGTGGGGGAAGTCGGCATCTGTGGACCTTTGGTGTGAGACATTGGTGGAGATGATCTTTGGTGGAGATGATGAGAATTGGTTTGATGGCGGCTATGTTTAAGAGATTAGGGTAAGATCCGTGTAGTGTGAAGTGTAATACGTATATGATCCGTGTGGTGTAATATGTATAAGATTGGTTATATGGTTAGTATTATTGTACATGAGGTTATATATATTATACTTCTTAATTTTCAAGAAATGGGCAATATCCTTAATAATATAGTATATATATATATATATATATATATATATATATATATATATATATATATATATATGAAGAGGAATTTTATTTTGATGATAGCTCAAGGAAGAAAAGCTACTTAATAGTAATTAAGACCATATTTACCAGCCAATAACTAGAAACTATTATCAAATCATAGGATGCATTGTTTGGGCAAAATCAGCATCGAGCAAGGAAAAAATAGATGAGAAGAGTATGATAGTCAAATACTTCCTTCTCCGTTTTGGTATTACTTTGACTAAAATCAAAATCTTATTCACGTAAAGAACAAAGGGAGTAGAGAAAAAGGGGAGAACCTTGACGGCAGGAGCGACGGTTGGCCAACAAGACCAGGTTCCGAGTATGAACACCAAGCTGACTGATTTGGTCCCATTTACTTTCGTGCTCCTTTGAAGATCATGTGGCGTACCATCCGAGGTTAGGTGGCGACGGTGAAGACGCTGAGAACAGTGAAGATGCACACACCTAAATTAGAAATTAAATGGAGAAGATGATGGTAAATTCCAAATATAAATTAGAGGAATCTATTATCTGGATCAGAAAATGGAGATGATGATGGCGATTTCCAAATCTGATCAGCATCTGGTCAAGAAACAAAAGACTCGTCAACGCCGTTAAAGATGCATAGCATTACTACCACTTGGTGGTGGCCAACATCAATGAGTGGTGGCGGGGATGGACAACAAGTTAGGTTAGAGAGAGGGAGAGTGACAGATGAGAAAGAGATCAATTTAGAAATTACCCTGAAAGTACCAAATCAGTCATCAATTGTTAAACGTAAACCACTTTCAAGTAAATAGAGATGTAGAGAAAGAAAAAGAGATTCATGAAACAGAAGGTGTTGATGGAAGTAACTCATTGTTCGAGATCGAGAGACAGATAAAGAGAGGCGAGAGAGATCATTGCATCTTTGGTGGGGGAAGTCGGCATCCGTGGACCTTTGGTGTGAGACATTGGTGGAGATGATCTTTGGTGGAGATGATGAGAATTGGTTTAATGGCGGCTATGTTTAAGAGATTAGGGTAAGATCCGTGTAGTGTGAAATGTAATACGTATATGATCCGTGTGGTGTAATATGTATAAGATTGGTTATATGGTTAGTATTATTGTACATGAGGTTATATATGTTATACTTCTTAATTTTCAAGAAATGGGCAATATCCTTAATATATATATATATATATATATATATATATATATATATATATATATATATATATATATATATATATATATATATATATATATATATATATATATATATATATATATAAGAACATTACTTCGCTCAACCTTACTGCTGTGTGGTTTTGAACTTATGGAAGACCTAAAATAACTTGGTGTTCAACAAGAAAAAACGCTCTTATACTAAGGCGACGGATGATATGCAATTAACTGCTTTCAATTGTGTTAAAGATCTCTTTTCAATTTTATTAATTATTTTGATTGATGTGTTTTTCCTTTGGTGCATGTAATTTGTAATTTTGTTTGTACTCTCTTTCTAACTTCTTGTTAGTGTTTTAATATGTTTATATTAAAAGAAAAAAGTTAAACTACCATGTACCAACTTTCAAGTTACAACTATAAACTAGCTGTACCAATTCATGTTAATTTTTAAGTTAAAAAAAAAAATTTCAAATTTCTGGTTTACCGGTTTTGTTACTTACCCGATTATATTAAAGTTTCATTATTTAACCATAATTTACAAATAAGTCCCGAATTAGGGCAAAATAATGAAACTTTAATGAAATTATGGTAAATTAATGAGATTTTAATGAAACTGGGTAATTATTGAAATCAATAAATGGGAAAAAATTTGTTAAATCGTAATTTTTACCGATAATTAAGAGTTTTCGTAAATAATTATTAATTTGGGATTTTTTTCATAAATTCTGATAAAATATTAAAACTTTTTCGGAGATTTCCCATTTAAATAAAATACATTTGTTTCATATTTATAAAAATCAAAACATATATATATATATATATATATATATATATATATATATATATATATATATATATATATATATATATATATATATATATATATATATATATATATTGGCCGTGTTCGGCAAAAATAGTTGGTAGCGGGTAGTTTGTAACTGGTAGCGTTTTGGTAAACGTTACATAATGTAACATTTGAATTTAAAGCGTTTTGTTTAAAATAAACGCTAAAAGCTTATAATATTAAATGAAGTTTTCTGCTTAAAAACAACGTTTTGTCAAACAATATAAACTTTTAAACGCTCCCAAAACATTTTATACAGAATACGCTGATTAATGTTTGTAATAAAAAATAAGTAAAGATTGATTTATTAAATAAAAGTTAGAAATTATTCTTCTTGTGCGATAATCAATAAAGAAATTAATAGATGTTAGGCAAACGTCACATTATAGTCAGAATATTTTTTTATGGTAGTCTGTGCCAAGTAATTCAGAGAAATCTTAATGAATGCTAGCTATCACTTGTTACCATGATTGCAAGAAGTTGTTGTGTATTTGCTTCGTCGTTTGATGCTTTAGAGCATACGGTGTGGATCATGTTGGTTTTGCTGAGTTGGCAGCCCATAATATCGTTATAATATCAAAAACATCATCCCTCATTCTTGTTGCATCTTGTTGTGGTGTTTCTTGTTGCCTTCATGACAAGAAGAAACATGATCATCTATTGGCTGCCAAATTATCTCTCTCTATCTCTCTCCTCTTAACATGGTGTTATAACACCATGAACACCACCCCCTCATCTTGTTACTTCTTGTTATAACACCACTTCAAGTTGCCCATACCACATAGTCTTAAAATATATAAGGTTTTCATGTGTACTTTGATAAGCGTTTTAACCATTTAAAAGCCAAGTTTATTGAATGAAAATTGATAGAGTTATTTTGTTTCAAACACGTAAAAGTTTACATTTGTGTGAATCTTATAATTTCTTTTCCAGATAGATATTAAAAAAACATTTCGATTTGTTATATAGACATCCTAATTAATTTTTAAAATATTTTTATTGATTGAAATTTTATTATTTTTCAAAAAAATTGATTATAAATAATTAATTATTAGTTGATTTTTTTTATAAGTATGTTAATAGGATGTCTGAAAGTTATCTTATTAGCAAGACCCTTATAAGAAACAAAAAGCTTTCTAAAAAACAAAAAGCTTTCTACGTGCTATAAATAATATAATA